AGTAAAAGGTTACAGGGGAGATCTCGTTACCACAAGAAATCCCACGGGTTGGTCCCCTGCTGGACCAGTAAGCTGGTAACATTAACTTAGAATCAAAAGTAAAAGAAACACAGTACCCTTTATATCTTTATAAACCAAGCCAGAAAGAAATAAAAAGTAAACTCTAATTCTCCAATAGGAGAAACATTGTTAAAAACACGATTTGTAACAAAATCGTAAGAGAACATACAACATGCAAAAAGTTAGAAAATTATCAAGAGAGAAGATTACAAAAACGATTGATAAAAGCTCAGAAAATTCATGTGAAAAGTGTAGAGAGATATAGTTAAAGCAAAGACCAGGTGTGGAAATTCAAGACCGAGAGCACGAACAGGGGTTGGCAGTAACAGCGAGCCCCGTGAAGCTGCAAGAGCCCTGGCTGCCTGCAGTGCTGCAGGCTGTGCCCACCGGGAGAGCTGGAGCAGAGGAGAGCTGTTTAAACAATGTAACAAAAAAGAACTAGCTCTAGTATAAAGTCTGTGGTAAATAGAGTGAGAACAAAAAAGAAAAGCAAAGGTGATAGCAGAATTTTTCCAGCAGAAAAAAACCGCAGAGGCATTCCTCCCCAGCAGGAGAGGCCCAACCCAGAAAGTAGTTAAGACTGTTAAAGGATGTCAAAAACTCTCATTGTACCAGAGACCCACCAAACTAGAACCTTTGTTAACTTTTAAAGTGAGTTTGGATCGAGACGTGTGTCCTAGTAAAAGCAAGGCCTCTCAATTCTCCTTAATTTTTATCCCTGAAGGAGAAAATTATTGAAGAAATTTTTTTTTGTTCAAAATAGTTGTGAAACTCGTAGTTTCTTCTGTAAGCTCAGAAGTTTAAAACACAACTTTCTCTGAAAGAATTGTAGTAAATGAATTCAAAGATTTAATTCATTTGTCTACATAGAGTTTTTTACAGAGCTGAAAGGCTCTTGTTTGAGGGACCACACCTCTGAGCTTTTAGATGTTTTGTTGAAAAAAAGCCAGAATTGGCAGATTTTAGTTATGAAGCCAATTCTGCAACTCCTTCCTTGTAGGATAGTGTTGTCCCTATGCAAACCTAAATATTTGTCATGTAGCGTCCTCTGTAGAAGCTATAAGAAAAACTTTTAAAAAAAGTATTTTATTATATTCCCTTAATAAAACTTATTAAGAGTAAATTAAAATTGTACTGTTGAAAAAGAGGAGAGGTCTCTGTACTGTAAAAAGTGAGTGATACGTCTAAAAAGTAAGTAAGAGCAGAAAAACAGAAGCCAGAGATGAGTAGAGAGAGAGAACCCATAAATTGAGTTCAGAAAAAGAAGAAAGAAAGAGCAGTAATTGTGTTTTGAAAAGCTTACATTAGCCAGACTTTGACAAGCAAGGGAAAGAGGAGGGAGAAGCTGAAAACTCTCGTAGCCTGTGGCTGTGCCACCCATCCCCAGCCCGTGGCAGTTTTTTTTTCCACCCAGAGCATCTGCCCAGGAAAGCCCCAGCCTGAGCCACCCCTCTCGATGCTGTGTCCACGGCTGCCAACCAGAAAAATTAATTCGGCCCCACCGGGAGAGAAGCTGCTGCAGCAGAAAACTCCAGCAGTATAAGGTACACCAAATGTCCCACAAAATCCCTACCCAGACATCAGAGCAGTTTCTGTCCCAGACTCCGCCCACACCCCATTACTGAGAAATTCAAGTTTCAAAATCTATGAAGCTGATTCTGCTCTCGTAGAGAACCTAATTTAATTATCAAAGTAGAAAAGAGAAACAGAACACTCCCAATACAGCTGCATCAAGAAGAAAAGCAAAAAAATTTGTTTTGAAAAGTAGTGATTTAGATTATAGTAGTTATAGTGATTAGCAGAGTTACAGAGATACTTGAAGGTGTTAGTGGGGGTTGTGCAAAATGGAGAGTAGAAGAGATGTGTTGGTAATTTGTAGAGTCTTACAAGGAAAGTAAGGTTGAAGTGTGTTTCTTATAGCGTGTAACTTTCTAAAGTCTGAAAAGAGGGGAGAAACTGCTAAATGCAGTTTTACAAGAATTTGTTTTAAATGTTGAAAGTAGTTGTGGGATGCCAAGGAGATTTGATTCTAATATTTAGTAGAGAAAAATTAAATGTTTAAAGAGTTTGTAATAAAGAAAAGTTCCTCGGTGAGAGAAAAAAAAGGCTTTTTGAGAATTTTGAAAGTAAATGTAAAAATTTACTTTTCCAAGGGAGTAAATCAGTGCTATTTTAAAGTACTAACTGTATAAGTTTGTATTAATAAAGGTTTTTTAGTAAATCTTTTGTGTTTATTCAAAAATTTTGAGTATTTAGTCTTATTTTGCTTTTTAAGCAAAATATAAAATATACTGTTTAAATTCAAAGTACCAGAAAAAAATTGTAAACAATTGTGTTACCATTTCCACAGATGAACTAATAAAATATTTAGAGTATTGTAAGATCAAGACCCCTTAAGAGCTAAGTAGTCAGTACAAGCTTGTGAATCATATGCAAGTATTTACAAACACTAAAAAAATTAAAAGAAAAAACAACACAATAAGCTGTTTAAAAACCAAAATGTCTGTGTTATCCATGTATACATTATAAATATAGGTATTGTCACGAGATACAAGTTGTGCATTGTAAGAAGTATAAATGCAAAAGCTTATGTACAAAGTGTCTAAAAAAAATGAAAAAAGAAGGCTCAACTAGCTGTATCTTAGTACTCGCTACAAACCTAAGCTTACTAGAACTAAATTCTCCAGAGTGTATCTTTTTAAATTTAAAAAGATCAAGGAAAAAATCAAACTCACAAGCAGAAGTCCTAGCAATTGAGTGCCAAATGGTGAGTAACATACTCTGTAACACAAATATTAAAAACTTATCCAAGTGAAGCACCTTTAAGAAGTAGTATGTGGCTCGGCCTAATTATAGAACCCCTGAAGAATACCCCTGCTGCCAAGAAGAAATTTACCTCGCCACCGGTTGCAACTTGGTGGGCACAGACAGAGGCAGAAGAGCACACCTGTGGGGAATCCTGAGGATCCTGAGCCTACCCGTGTGCCAGACAAGTGGTCTGCATTCAGAGCAACTGCCCAGTGATGAAAAGCAGACCCTAGTATATAAGTGTGAGCTGTGCCTCAAGACTGTCCTGAAAGGACAAAGTGAGATAAAAAAGATAACATATCAAGCCCAATATAGCTACCCAGATAACAAAAAGAGTGGGTACTGCACCTATAATGGCACTCGATTTTGGATATGTGAATTAGAAGAGAAAACAATATGCTATAACCCCGCTACGAGGCCTAAGAGCAGTCAAACTTTCCATCAAAGAAAAAGGAGATTTCAATCCATGTACAAAAACAAGATACTAAAGACACCAAAACCCCCTATTTGTAACCAGTGTAACCATATTGTATAAATTAAAAATAAATTTTAAAAAATAGTACAACAAAATCACGAATTATAATGGTGACTTAGAAGGGGAGGGATTGTAATATATGCTGGTATAATTCGCGTTTTATTTTATACATATAAGATCAAGTATAAAGGCATGTTTTATGTAAAAAAACACAAGCAACTTGAGATTGCAAGAGCATCTGCTGGAAAACCAGGAATTTGCAAGAGAATGACCCAGCAATTATGATAACACCGAGAAGAGGTGAGTCCACCCAAGCAAGATGAGCCTACTAACGACCCAGTGATTAATGCCTGATACTGACCCGATCTGATTCTCCAGGACCATGCAACCCAATGTCGGTTTCCCAAAAAAAAAAAATACTGAAGACTCCCTTTCCTTCTGAGAAAAAACTCACCTCGAGTCTACATCTCAAAGCCTGCTTCCTAAAAAGCCACTCAAACTTCATCTCCTTCTCAGAAAACTCATCAGCAGTCCAGCAGCAAAATTACCAATATGTAGCAACACAAGAAAAAGAAAGAAACTGAAGCTGTATAGCCTCAAGCTGAAAAACCTGTAAAAAACTCAGCTCTCCGAAAGACAGTTTGTGAACTTGGGGGAATCAGTGAGACAGAGGCTGATTCAGAGTTCACACAGCGCTGATCCCGGGCTCAATGCTGACAGTGATTTGTGGCTGTTCCAAAAACTCCATTTTACAAATTTTTCAATAAAATCCTTATTGATAAAATTTGATTGATTTTATTTATAACATGCTAGAGGTTATCTAGATAGAAAAGATTCTAAAAATAGCCTAAAAGTATTTATGAAAAGTAAATACTTACACTGAGTTTTAGACATAAAATATATACATTTGTGTATTAAGCATACTTGAAATATTGCATATGCAAAATGAAGGTGTTTGTTAGGGTCAACAGACACTATTTTAGCATTAATACAAACCAAAAGAGTATCATAAACTCACTGCTCACAGTAGCATAGCACACTGCTGACAGTACTTGTATGTTCTAAAAAAACTGTATTTGTTATTTGTATCAGTTACATGGGGAATATTTTGTTCAACAGATGTCTGGGTACCAACACTTGACATACCTGAGCATGGGCTTCATTGCGTAGGGGATGCGCACAAACAAGGCAGGCTGCAATACATGTTTTACACCCAGCAGAGTTTTTTATTGTATTTCTTAGAAATAAAAAATAATTCAGTAACTACATCACCATATTTTTTTTTTTTCTCCTTTATGCAACCAAGTACATATACACCTTTAACCATGTATTATACATTTTTGACACCTAAAGGATCTAAGGAGAACAAGTACTTGCAAGGCCTTTGTCAATGGGCACAACTATACTACAAACTGTCTTCACTGTAACAAAAGGAAAAAAACATATCACAGAAGCTGAAGCAAAATAATGATCTCATGATGTTCACTTTAATATTTCTTGAGTGCTTAGGATTGGATGAACCCACCTGGCATACAAGTTTTAACAAAGCCAGTTTAAAAATGTAATATCACAGCACCTGGAAAGGAAAAAGTTCAGTTTCTCTGCATTTCAGTTGATGACCTAATCTCACTTAACTCTTGATGTAGCCTTAACTTACCAAAATGTTAGCAGTATTCCTGAAGCAAAGTTTTGAAACCTGTGTTTCTCCACCTGTACACAGAATTATCTCTTCTTGTTCAACCGGTAGCTGGTAGAAGCAAGTACATGAAAACAGATTCAGTAGAACTATGTTTTATTTTTTCAGACAGTTAGAAGTTTCTGTGACAGCCTTACCAAAAGGCTTGTCTTACAGTTCCACAGGTCAGCACCATTATATTGTGTATAGCTGAGAGGTGGGGGGACACACAAGGCAGTAGCAAACAAGTCAGATAGTTTAGTACACCTGGATCTTCATAGCTCTGTATTTACTCAACAAAGTCTGATATTTATAGAAATCTGAACTATTTTGCTTTACATCCAGTCAATTCTGAAGCTGGAATGGCTATGAAGGCTAAAATGACTACAGAATCTGAGGCTGTGGTCACAGACACCTGTACACACCCATCCTTCATCATCAGAGGTCAGAGGGCACATAACAGAAGAAACAAAGCCTCCTGACACAGAGTTTCGAGATTGACTCGTTTAATAGTAGAATTTTTAATTAAGGATTTTGTAGGTCAAGGTCTCTAAATATCTTTTCACAGGGGACAGCAGCTCAGCTCTTCCTAAGACGCAGCCTTCATATTCCAGGGGTATTGTAGCTATGGAGTCCCTGAGTGCTCAGTCTTATTTTGAAGGACCAAGCATTAAGTGACGTCAAATTACATTGCGCTACCGCAAAATAAATAAAATAAAAAGGAAATCAAAGCGCCTGCACGGGCTTTGAGTGACAGGCACTGGACCGGGCGGGGGCAGCGCCCTGAGGGCTCATCCCGGTCCCGGCACTCACCTGTCCGCCTTCCTCTGCCCCCGCCAGCGCCGCCGGGGCTCCACCGACGCCTCCGCCGGGCCGCCGAG